TAGATAATTGCCAAAACACGCTTCTGACACACAAAACACGCTTATGGCATCTGATAAGTAGTGCAAAATGGAAAACCTGACAGATGTACTCCAAAACTGGTAAGACCTGATATTCTAGCATTCTTAACTACTTCAAGCTGTTCAGGGTCGATGTTTAAGCTTGGAAAGATGTCCACAGCTTTTGAGAAACAGATGACGAGTTCCTTGCTCTTAGCGATAGTAAGCTGTAGTCTTACTGCAGTTGACCGGGTTTGAACGCTCTCGACAGCATCTTAGATGTTAGTGGCGGAGTCTTCAGGCACGAGAAGAGGTGGTGTCGTCAATACGTTTCAAAGTTTGTACTAGGTGACTGAAGATCCTTTATCACGAGAAGGAATTATCACGAGCCTTATTTGGTCACCTGCGGAACACCGGATGAGACGTCAGCCTATTCGGAGAGGCAGACTTAAGCTAACTTCACTCACTGTTGTATCTTCATGAGAAAGACGATCGCCCAGTGCTTGATAAAGACTCGCACAGTTAAAAGTGAGACCTTCTTTGCCAGGATATGATGGTCTATGAGGTTGGAAGCCTTGTAGTAATCAAATAGGGCAACTCAGACAGTACTTCCTGCTCTATCGGTTGTTTTGGCCAAAGAGTGAACCATCGAGATAAGCGCATGGGTCGCGGACGAAAGAGGGATGCCACTAAATTGAGATAGGTCGATTGTCTTTAAACTGCAGGAGGCGATGTATTTTTCAAACATGAAGTCTTCAGCCAGTTTTGATAAAACAGGAGTAAGCGAAATTGGTCTTAAATGTTTGCTGTTGCCGGTGACTGGTTTCTCCCTTGGGACTGATGCTACGACCTGTTTCCACGCTCAGGGTAGCATCTACTCTTTATGGGGGCTAATAAGTGGGAGCCTGACTGAACAAGACTGAACTTTGCAAGAAAAGTGTTTTACGAGTTTAGCGTATAGATTGTAGATATTCCTGGCTTTTCAGTTTTTGCTATCAATCCTTTTTCTAATAGTCTATACGTCTGTTATATATACTTTAAGAAGTACCTCTATAGACATTTTCAGTATTTTGTTAAGCGATTCAGTCCGTAGCTGTAATGTTTAGTTATCAATGTATCTACCTTTCTAGAGCTTTTTCAATGGAAACAACGACAAAAACAAACCACTTTCGTTTAACGATACCGAAAGTTTTCTTAATTTGGAGAAAAAGTTGAAATTTAAACTAGATTATCACTCTGGAATAATGTAAAACAGAAGATTGTTTGTTTACTCCCCGAAACATTTTGTCAAAAAGCTCAATTCCAAGTTGTTACTCAACTTAGCTTTAAAGGGGTGTGACTACATCCATATTTTGGATACGAAATGATGCATCTTTGCTCTTTGATTATCCTATCGGTTTGAAGATATCTTATTACTCAACCCTTACTAATATGTGTAACACATTATGTAAGGGAGATTCCAAGTTAGGTCTCCATAACGTTCCATTTCCCAATTACCAAGTTCTTCAGGGCTAGCCACGCTGTGTTAGCAGTTTAAACTTTTTGTGTTTTAGTGATGCATCTCTCATTAAGCAATTTCATTGCTGCGAGGTGTTTCACCCAAGTGATAGCTGGTTATCCTCTCTGTTTCAGCCATAATGAGAAATTATTTATATTGCTTTAATTGGTTGCGAGGTGCCTCAAGAGTTTTCCTCTGATAAAGCTTTAAGGCGTGGTGGATAACACGAATAGAACCTTAAGCGTGGAAAGGTCTCATAATGCCATTCCCTTCAAGGATGGTTTCTTTCTTAAATCAGCTGTCACCTGGGTACACTTCTTTTACAAAATTTAATTTACTTTTCTGACTCTTCATCCACAAATTTCTTTGATCCCGTCTATAATAATACGGCATGAAGAAAATTCATAATTTCCACACAAGCTGTTGTTTGTTTGTTCAACCTGAGGGTTACAAGTTTCTCTCTTTTCTTTTTTTTGGCCATGACTTGGCTGAAGGTTTGTCATTTTTGCTCAACAATTACTCTGTAGGTTTAAAGGTAACTCATTCTGTTGATTTGGAATTAGTCAGTTTTCTTTGGGGATCATGTTATAAAAAATGAAATTCTGCAGGAGTTTGGTGTAAGAGTTGTCCAATTAGCATTTCATGGAATGGCACCCTCTTTGGACTAATAGTAATAATAATAATAAACTGACTCTATAATCTATTTCTCTCATTGGTTGCTCATTGGCAAAGTCAAGAGGTACTTTTACATCAGTTGAACCAGAATCCAGGCTTGTTGACTTGTTGATCCCTTTCTCCAGAATTTAAAATGAATAATGAATAATCAAAAAAGTGATAACAAAAATAAAACATAAAAATCAGAGGAACAATAACTAATGTAATTTGGGTCTGAATATTCAGCTTCCAGCTCTTATTAAAAGGCATATAACATTTTTCTGAGATTCTCTTGTTGGTTCACAAACATTTAGATAATCAAGTTGTTAGTTTAACCACTTGTTAGTCTTTCAATCACACAAGCACAATCACAAGTTTAAAATTGTCTTTCTACTCTCGACTAAGCAAATTTCACCATCTGAGCAATTTATATGTTATTTTTTCACTTATGTGGCAGCAGATGGAAAGTCAACTGACACATCACTGTATGATAATGCCCAACCCTCCAATTATGGGTTGTTTCCTCCACAATTTTGTCCATTTGTTGAACATGCAAAAGGTATTTTGTTCCAAATTGAAAACTTATGCTTTTACTGTTCCTTAATCAAGGCCAAAATTATACAAAAATCCACAAAATGGGCCACCATACCAAACATAGTGATAATACTACTCATTAACCTATTTGCTCAATAATATTTGTCTGCATTAATGTTAATTTAACTTTAAGTTTTGCTCATTTGCGGCTTGCAAATACCATCCCAACCAAGGCTGCTGCTCCGCCCATAACCAGAGCTGTACCTCCCAGGATGCCAAGTCCAATCAAGCCATCTATGGAAATAGCATAACATTATAAAAAATTTAACAGAACCCTTTTTGGAATAATTATCCTGTTGGTCTTGGCAGGAGAGTGCATGTGGTAAATTCATGATTTTGTGACATGCATAATTTGAAAATGTGTTTGAGTAGCTAAAACCAAACATCTTACAAACTGAAGAGTTCTGCATATTACAGTACATACATAGGTCATTTGAGTTATTACACATATAGAAATTTCTAGCTTAAGAAGTCTCTAAGTTGAGCAATGGTGTAATTGAAATGGTATGTAAAAGTAGGGAAACACCAGGATATTGAGCTTGTTGTGCATCATTGACAAGCATATGGAATCAAAAGATAACTGAAGAACCAGTTCAAATTACAAAAAATTGTTTCTAGACAGCTTGAATAGGACATCCATATGAGAACACAAAAATTTACATCTTGGAGCACTACACTCAAAATCTGCAAAAGAATACTGGACAGATGACAATTACTCTATCTTCCAGTCACACCAAAAATGTTCAAACCTTTTTTCATTTGACCAGTGATTTTTTCATGCAACTCAAGCCCCTGTCGGTTTTCAGGTTCTATTTGTAGTAATCTGTTTGTGTATCTGAGGGCTGACTTGTATTCCTATTTGATGATAAAAAACTGTAGTTTAAAATCAACAGGCCCTACACATGTATCACTATCTTCTCCAAAACTTTGAAATGGAAGGAATGCTAGAGAGCCATTATTAATTTTATAATTATAGTTTTGAGCGCTTCTTTAGGTCAGGTAAGTTTGACCAGTAAATTTTTATAGTTTGCAATTTGTTGGAGATACATATTCCTGCTAGGACAGAAAGATGTAAGTTATACTGTGCAGGTGAAAATTTATTAAGCAGAGTGTTAAAGCTTGTTCTTGGTCTACATTTTGTGCGTGAAAACAAAAATTAAAACAAAATATTGTAGGGTTTGCCACTTTTAGCTGTGGTTCTATATATCAACCAGCAGAACAGCTGCAAATCAAAATTATAGTATGCATAACTTAACTTCATAACAACAAAAGGGTTGCTATGTAACTCACATTCAATTTGTAATATCCTTCTGCAATAAAATAAAGGTAATCTCTTTGATCAGTTCCACTATGACATAATCCTACAAACAATTGAAGAAAGAAAGAGAAAAAAATACAACTGATAAGACTCCAATTGCTCAAGGCATTTTATCTAAGGCTAAGGAAACACTTAAAAATGGGACTCAATTACATCAATGTCAATGGACAAAACAAGAAATAACAATCACTTTAAATGATTTTTTTTTCAATCATCACAATGTGATAAAATTTAGGATCATGAACCTTTGGACCCTATAAAAATTTCCATTTGCAGATAGAAAACCTTAGCAAATCTTCTATTAAAACACCAGTATGATTGCGCTTAGTAGACTATTTTATGTGAGAACCTGGGTTCTTCATATGTCCTATCATGAGGCATTGTGCTGGTGTGACCAAGCCAATAGCATCCACTCATCTCCAGTAATTCTGGTAAAAATCAAGAAAAGAGAAATACCCCTGATCTTCAAATTGCTATTTTGCCAAAAGTTTCCAAAGGAAAGTGCCCTTCAATTTTAATTCCTTTTCAAATCGAAAGAGTTCTATGACCCAGAAGCTTAATTGTCCCTTCCTTGACAAGAAGTATTAAGAAATTATCTTGAGGACCATTGCAAAGGGATACTGTTTAACCAGAACACATACTTCACCTTGCAGGAGAAGAACTCCTTTTAAAATTTCACTCTTGTTGCTGCTTTTTATCAAGCACCAAGCATAACTGAACTGTGTATCAGAAGAAACCTGTCCTCTTTCAACTTCAGCATTATATTTGTCCTCAAAACGCTAAAAATTTTGGGAAAAACAATGATTTAAGAAAAGTACATACATTTCAACTATTGATTCACCATCATCACCAGTTAAATTTAAGTGAACATGACCTATTTAAACTTAATATGAACGAACATGGTCGGTGCAATCACAGTCACATACATAGTCAAGTACAAGGTCCATGCCCCATGACTGAAAGCTAAACTTTTTTTTGTCTGGCGCAACCAAACTAAGTCAATAAGCATTTTATCATATGACCACTAAATGTTGCATAATTTGAAAATATTGTTTCAACCAAGATAGTATGTGATAGAAGGATCCTGGTGGGACAACCACAAAAAAGATTCTACAATAAAAAATTTCCTTCTCTAAAACTCACAATTCATCAGAATCTCAACTTTTTTCACTCTTTTCTTTTTATTGTTAAAGGATATGGTAGACCTTTGTGCATGTCCTCACAAAAAAAAAAGGTGCCATTTGAAGTATTACAACCATAGACTATATATCAACACATGTTTAGGTGGGTATCTTGGGAGTCTTTAGACCAAATTTCAAGGCAATCCATAAAGTTAACCTACACTTACAATTAATTTGTTTGCATAAAAACAAAGTAAGTTTTTTACTTTCAAATTTTTCCCAACAACTTGCAAAATGTTGACCACCAATAGAAACTTAAGATTGTCTAGCAGAGTCTCAGAAGAATCTCAGCAAGAACATATTTAGCAGGTAACTATCTATCAGTTACCTGCAATAGACCTTTAGTTCAACTCTGCTGAAGAGAAACTTTGATTTCAAATACTTTTTTTCAACTGAAAGGCCCCTTGAGAACAATGCGGCAAAACTACATGGTTGCTGATCAAGCACAAGCAGCAAAGATTGCTTAAATCATAAGCCTTTATCTGTTTCTGTGAGAATCTTTCGAATCTCTTTATTTCTTGTCCTTGAAAGCCAGATTTCTTTTTTATCTTTCTCTAATCACCTTCTACTTTTATACGCTGACAGATAGCAAAGATCTTCATGTGCAATCAAAATTAGGAGATGTTAACATAATTGAAATTCATGGACCAGGATGTTTTACTGCAAGAAACCCTTCAAGAGTCATTTATGTTCACATGTTATAATTAGCTATTCACACTTTGGCAGCTTAAAGAATTTAGATATAATTATGTAAATTAATTGTGTGTGCTTCAATATTTTACCTTAATTTTTCTTGGAAACTATAGTTAAATAGCAATGCTTAGTTTGACATGATAAAAAAAAAATCTCCAAAAATCTGCCCTTAAAGGTCCACTATATAGTTTAGTTTTTGCAACAAAGCTATGTGAGTGCAGTGCTGGATGGCTTTTTACGGAGTGGCTAATGTCATCCTGTCTGTTCAGCTCAATACACAACAGCTTTCACCATGGATTTCTATAGGACTGCATGAACAGGTAGCCATATGAAAAAGATGTTTACCAAAACCTCAAACCCTTGTGAACTTGAATTCTGAAAGTAAAATTAATTTCACCTGGATTTCCCTCATATATTCATCATTAATAATTTAACACTCCGTATCTCCAAACATTGACAACTCAAATTTTTTGCTGAAGCAGTTTTTTGTTCCTTCAAGTCATTTTCAAAATTTTTTGCATTGATAAGTTCAAGAATACTTGCCAATCAATATGTGACATATAAAGATTACTAAGCTACAGCCAAAATCAACCAATGATTTGGTAGCAATCATATTCTCCTTTGTTTGTTTGATTGTTCATTTTTTCTGATGAAAATCCTTACTTCCAAAGTTTAATTTTCCCTTGAATTTGCTATTTTTATGTAAATTTAATAAAAGGTAAACTGTAGGAAGAGAGAGACAGTAGACATCATATTTTCCTTATTTCTAGATCTTTCATTATTGGATCAGCCTCAGAGTGTGTTGACAAGACAAACTGAGGGTTACAAATAAAGCAGCCGGGAATATTGGTAAAATAATCTTCAAAAATAATATTGAAAAGGTCAGTCAAGAAGATCAAATGTTGATGAAGAGGTGCATAGCATCATTTAGCCACTACAGACCGTTTAAACAGTGCTTGAGTTTATAAAAAGAGCTTTTAAGCCACCAAGAGGGCAACTGAAAAACAGTACACTGCAGGACATTGCAATATATCAATATTTTACCTCACTTTTTACATTATTGAGACTAAATTAATGAAAATTCAATACGCTTAAATTAATAATTGAATTTTGAAAACTATCGATCTACATCTCGAAAATTGCATATTGTCATTCCACAAATTACAGATTGTCATTTCGTTTCGTTTTGCAAATTACAGGAAGCCATCAATGTCGTACAAAAAATTTAAAGGACAAGTTTATTTGTTAACTGATAAACTTGAAATATTTGTTCGTGTACTGGCGTGGGGGAAAGCCACGAAGTAAAAATGAGTTCTGAACATGCTTAATGAATTTGATGGAACGAGTGAACAAGCTTGCGATTCGAAAAGTGACATTTTGGTTCTACAGTATGCATTGCGTGCTTTTAAAAGGTCGTGTTTCACTTGCTGATCACAGAAAATAAGACAATTAAACAACACATTTATCCTACCTTTGCGTCTCCTTCAGAAAGAATTTCATCCATAATTCAAGCTGAAACTAGGCTGACTGAGTTTAAACAAACGAAACAAAATTATTATCTTCCTCAAATGGAACCTTCGTTGTCCGCCATCTTAAAGCAAGGTAACCTCGCTACGGTAGGGAGGGAGGGGAGTAGCATTGGGTGTACTGTGCTGTGCTGCTTTGCTGTTATCTGTTGCTAGCTCTTCTGTGGTTGGTCCACTGAACTCGTCTTACTTGAAAAAAGCGTGCAAGCTATTAGTTTTTCAATTAACAATTGATTAGTTAGCAGAGTGATGTTGATATATGTTACGCCAATGGTAAAATGGTAACACAAGAAAGCGTCATCTTCTCAGATTAATCCACATCGTAATATTGGATGTAGCTGGATTGTATTGTGGCTACAATGGATTTGTCTGAAAAGCAACACAGTAGCTTGCCTAGTCCAATGGCTGAGGCATCCTTCTTGTCTCGTCTCACTTACTGGTAATCATAATTTAATTATGAGATGTTAATAGACATGATTGATTTTAGAATTAAGGTCCATATACGTCTACGGCTAAGCGTTTGAGTACGTTTGTACACAGTCATTCATTTTCATATTTACTCACGTTGAGAATAAGTTTATTTTTACCTAAGAACTGTTAGTTAAATGCATTTCAATTGACACATTTCAACTTGAGTAGTTGAAAAGTAAATTAATTATTTAGTACTGTGTGGTCAAGTCCACTTGCTACACATTCATGAGCCTATGCAGTGAAGTAACAGTTCATGAGGTATATGGCCTCTGAATCAATATCAACATGACTGCTGACTGAATTCGGATTGGCTCAACCATTTTTGAGCATGTCTCTGGTGATAATATTTACGGCTCTAGACCTCCTTTGGTCTGTATGCAGAACTTCACAGGAACGCAGGGAAATGCAAATAAGGAAGACTGGAAGTTTAAGATGGTAATTTCCATAATCAACTTGGAAAGGGTTTAGAGGTGATTAGCCCCATGCCTTATGCCCATGGCCCATGGCCCATGGCCCACACCTGACCCCCAGCCCCCAGCCCTTAATCACCAACCTTGCTGCCAAGCCCCAACCCCCATTCCACAACCTAATATTGATCCCCAGCACCAACCTGTAACCATTAACCTCTTTCCTCTTGTTTCCTAAAAGGAAGTTCCTTCCTTGCTAAGTTCATTTGGAGTTCAGAGCAGCTACAGGACCAAAGCAAAACTGGTCCTAGTATGTTTAATCATTATAGTTTACATCTTTTACTCGTTAATAATGAGAGATAGGAGGATAGAAGAGAACAGTGTGGACAATGGGAGAAAAACTGAAATTCTAAACTTCACTCTTCATCAATGCTATAAAAATGAATGTATTTATTTGTTTGCTTGTGTAGTTTGATTGTCTGGGTGAAGGAACCCAGGCTTATAACCCAGGCTTATTACTCCTCACTTGATGCTGATGATGATTTCTGCTTTAGGCTGTTGAAAGCTTGTCAGTAGTACTACCTGTAATAACATTTCTTCACAGGACTATCCTCATGAGGACTGTCAGACTGCATGATCAAATGCAATCCCTGGGTTCAAACCGTTTACTTTACATTTTTTACTTGTATGTTGCAGTATAGGGGCTGGCTTTAGATAACAGTATAGTGTCCACCAAGGAGTAAATTTCTTTTGACAAATCTTGTTCTTTATTTTGCAAGGTGGCTTAATGGACTTTTTAGTAAAGGATATGATAGGCGCTTGGAGCCTCATGACTTGTATCAAGTACTCAAGGAAGACTCTGCAGAAACATTGGTGGCAGATTTAGAGAGGTTGGTGGGAAAAATAAACAATGATATGTGACCTTTTAAAAAAAAAACAGTCAAGGTTAGAGAGGTGAAAAGCAGTAGTAGAAAAAGAAACATACAAGTGATTGATTTGATAAATTATAATTAACTTATAAACTCTATGTTAATGTTAGAGCTTGTAGATTATATCTGGACATGCAACACTAATAAATAATGCATAACCCCCCTGACTGGGAGACAGTTTCACTCTACTCTCATGATAAGTTATGTTGAATCAGGTTATCAAAATGGCTGTTATAGGTGGTGCCTAATCACAGTACCTTCTTGGTTTCTTACACCAAGGCAATTGCACTTTTTGTTTACAGTGGCCAAATTATTCAAGGTTTTTACTGCCCACTTTTTATTTATCAGACTTGTGACTTATATCCATTTTTAGGAAATGTTGATGTTAGTGGCTTTTTTCTTTTTTTTGTGTGGTCTCTATGATGTTACTCATTTTATTAATTTTTATAGTGAGTGGTCCAAAGAACTTGCAGCTGCAGCATTTTCATCCAGAAAACCAAGTTTGGGTAAAGCTGTAGCAAAGTTTGCTCTTATAGAGCTGGTATATGTTGGGATCTTTGGCTTCCTTAATGTAAGTTTCTTGACCTGTCACATCCAAAAACAACTTGGAAAATTAATTAAGTAATTAACTTTTTTAACATTTATGTCCTTACAATTGTTCAATGACAATAAAAATGGATGATTATATGCATGTATGGCCATTTGTATTGTAACAGTACAAAGTAAGAGTGTATCACTTTCCTTCAGTACACTACCATAATATTACTAAATATATTGGCTTTCCTCAATATTGATAATTGTCACAGTACTCTACATGAATTTTAGATCGACAAGATACCAATTACAGGAGAGAAAGTTTGGTTGTGACAGTTGAACCTTGATTATACAGACCTGGTTTAACTGAACTTGCCTCTCTGGTCCTTTTTTTTATGAATAATTGGCCATATTCAAGATTTGACATAACTTTTTTCCATCAAACAGAGCACTTGTAATGAAGCAACATTGAATGAAGTAATGTTGATGCTATCTTATTAATGGAGCTTCAAAGAATGATAGATTTAGTGATGTGCTTAGGTGTAGAAACTTGAAACAAACTGGTTTACATCATTATTTTAGGTTATAAACTTGTTAGTTAACTTTAATAATTTTTTGCAAATGTTGACTATGATGCACAGAAATTTAAATGGTACGTAGTCAGTTTTACTGTTGGCTCATTAATATCTTTGATTATCTGGACTATTTAGCGAAGTCCCCATGAGTGTGGATAATCAAGGTTCAACTGTAGGTTGAGAAAGCAGATTTTGGTATGCAAGTTTACTCATGCAATTGGAGAAAATAATTTTTTAAAATGTAGTCAGTTATCAAAAATTATATATCTTTCACTGTTTGCAGCAGATTTGATTTAAAAGAATGATTAAGTTGTAAGTTTCTCTCTCTTTTTTTTCTTTCATACAGGAAAGCATCAGGACTGTTCAGCCTATCTTCCTGTTTTATCTTGTGTCATATTTCAGTCCCAACCCAAGTGTAACAAAGTTGGAAGCTTATTTTTATGCTGTGGCTGTTACAGTAGCCTCCACACTGTCTGTTATTCTTCATCAACTGTACTTTTTTAATGGTCACAGAGCTGGAATGCATTTAAGAATAGCAACAACTGGATGTGTTTATAGAAAGGCAATTGCTTCACTATGCAAACATTACATAATTTATTGAACCTAACTTAATAGTGTTCATATTACATAAAATGTAACTTAAAGAAATCTTCAAAGAAGGTTGACTCTGACCACAAGCCTCCCAATCGTGGAATGTGGGTATTTATTCTTTCTTTCTTTGTTTTTTGGTTTTTTTGGTTCATAATCCATGCAATCATAGCCATATTTAGCTGGGAAACTTGTTTACTTGATGATAGTTGAATCGTATCCCATTTTTTCTCCCTCATCAATTTGATTACTTGATCTATATAATACATCTAAACAAATGGGCACTTGAAGTGAAAGGTAATGCAAAGGTGAAATGAAGACTTTGGAAATTTTGACAGCAGCTATTTTGCTTTCTTGTTGAAAATTGTCCCTTTAATCAATTCTGTCAACACCTTTTTGATGAGAAAAGAAAAGGTACTATATATATATATATATATATGCAGTTAGATATAGCTCTTTGGCATACAAAGCTTTGCTTTCATGTCCAAATTGAGCACTCTACTATATATATATATATATATATATACAAGTGATCCCACATATATATATATATATAGCACTGCACTGATGAGGCCCAGAAGGCCGAAACAGTACTGTCTGCAGTTAGTTATATATATATATATATATATATACACATATATATTTATATATAGTATTTTGTGCCAACCTTTCATGCTACCTATAATAAAAAAAAAATGATATTGTAAATGCAAGTGGTCACTTTCTTGATCTGCGCAACTGAATTTTACTTGTGTGCATTTTAGACTTTGAGACTGGGTCAAGGAGTCACAACTGGTCATGTAGTCAATCTCGTGTCCACTGACACACAGAGCTTTGATCGGGTAAGATGTAATTTGGTTAAGGTTAATTTCTGCAGGACTGTCATATTTTTGATCATTTTATTTATTTATAATATTGATAATGAAAATTTTTTTAAAGTTGTTATTTATTCATTAGTTCATCGTTTATTAATATCTGTTTTCCTGTGTTTTGATTCAGTTTGTTACCTATTTGCACTTTATCTGGATTACTCCTGTTCAAATGGTTGCCACAATGTACTTGCTGTGGATTCAGTTAGGAGTTTCTTGCTTTGTACCTCTGGCACTTATGCTCCTCTTAATAATTTATCAGTCACATCTTGGTAGAGTGTTTGCTATGTTGAGGTGAGACTTAACCATCTAGAGAGCTAAGTGTCAATTGTCAAGTTTTCATTGAACTCTAATTGTTTTTTAAAATTAATGTAAAAGTACCTTTAATATGTTTATTCTTTGACTTGTGATTCCAGTGGAGGGTTGCTGTTCGATACTTGCCAACCTAGTAGAGTGCGAACTATTTTTGGATGTAGACTGATCATTAACTTAGTCAGAATTAATATCATGATCTCACCCAGATATTCTAATAACTCAAATGGCTTACTGTAATTTGTGAAACAAAATGAAAGGAAATGAAAATCTGTAATTTGTGAAATGGAAATCTAGAAGGATAAATCAGTCAGTTCACCACGAGTGTGCATTGTAAATGCAAACCAGTGAAAGTGTGAAATGAAAATCTCTTTGGTGTACTTAGTGAAATCGTCACTTTGTTCATGAATGAATCAATGCATCAGCTATGTGAAAGAAGAATTGTGCCACTAAGCCAGAAATTCAGAAAACTACCTGGTGCTGTGGCTGTGCTGTTTATTTTAAAAGGTGTAATCAATGTACATAGCTAATCAAGAATTCAAATGCATGACATGATACTTTCCTGACTGGAATACACTTGGAAAATGTTGCAGCCAAAGGTGTATGCAGCATGTTTGTGAGTGAAATATCATGCATGGTGGGAAAATGAAACTGACCCAAGCTCTTTGATATTCTGGATTGATTTGCGTACCAGTTGTAATTTTTAACCCAGACATCGGTGACAAAGATTGGTGTGACTTTTGAACAAGTAGAAACCTAAGCTAACTTTACCTTGAGTGAACTCGGGTAAATTTTTCCTCACAAACACACCATCAAAGCAAGCATCCTCCTTATGCAAAATACAGATTTATATTATGCAAATTACAGATTTTTATTTCTCAAGTTACACATTTACAGGTGTTCATTTTGCAAATTTCAGATTTTCATTTCACGAATTACAGATTTTCATTTTGCAGATTACAGATTTTCATTTTGTTTCACAAATTACAGTAAGCCTCTTAAATATGAATAAATATAATAATGTTTTCATGGGAGATCTTCAAAGTAGCTCTAGAGAGCTATTCAAATTATTAAAATCACTGCAAAATGTGTTAAATGAACCAAAGAAAAAGATTAAGATAAGGTAGCTTAACTGGAAGACAAGGTGTGAAAAATATTTGGTGAATGAAAAATTTTTTGAGATTTTAAGACTGATGAGCTACTGCATCAAGTTGCAGAAGCTAGTTAGTATAGATTGAAGGAATACAAATGGCCCATGCAATAGCTCTGACCTCAACCAAGAAGTATTTTGAACCTAATGAAAGGGCATATGCTGCAATTTCACCTTTTTTTCTGTATATCTAAGGATTGTTTATATGAACTACCATTTTCAGTTAAAACACTGGTTAATAAATGCATATCGAATGCAGTTGTAAACCATGTGCATAATGATACTTGACCAAAACAGCAAATACAAAAAAATTAGTGGAAGATAAATGTAAACTAATTGACATTTTGCATTGACATGCAAGTTACATTTGTTCTGTCTGTGTTGCCAAGAATATTTCAAATGGTACAAGTAGCTGTGTACTTAATATTCGGTACTAATTATAACAAATTAAATTATCATTATTATTTAAACTGTTTCCCTCTAGACTTAAGACAGCAAGGCTAAGTGATGAAAGATGCAATAGAATGAATGAAATATTATCTGGAGTAAGGGTTGTAAAGATTTCCACTTGGGAATTGTCATTCAGCAAAATAATCAATAACTTAAGAAGGTGAGTAAGGACTTTTCCAGTATCATCCCTGCATGAATAAATTCAAATGTTTAAGATTTTATTTTGTTCTGAAACTTAAATAAAAATACACATTAATACTTATATATTAGGTGTGCCTTGTTGCTCATTACCTATGAGTGATAAATCTGAATAACCCTGAACACTTACTCTCTCTTCAGTAGCTTTGTCATGTACATTTGCCTAAATTATCAAGATCACAATATCTGAGTGACTGACTTGTTTCCTTTCATATGATCTAGTTAGTGGTTACTTAATTGATATTGTGATTGATAAGCTGCTTGTCATTCCATTCTTGAAGTGTTAGCATTACGACTGTTATCATAAATGTTTAACTTAGTTATAATTGGGGTGCCTCATATGCTAAAACAAGTGCATTTTTTCCCTCCACTGAATTCCTTACAAGACGTAATGTCGGAGTAATACATTTTCATGAATTCAATTATATTGTTGTTATTTATTAATGCATCTTACTGTGTCAGACAAACACAATGGTATTGCAGTTTTTTTTCTTCCCATTATTTTTTACAGTCTAGAAATATCAAAGATTAGGAAAGCTATGTTTCTGCGAGCCCTCAACATGGCTGTGGATTTTGCCTCACAGAATATCATCAGCTGTGTAACTTTTGGTAGTTATGTGTTACTGGGAAATACATTGACTGCTGCCAAAGTTTTCAGCTCCATTGCATTTTTAAATGCTCTTCAGAGATCAGTGACCAGGCATTTCCCTCCAGCAGTTCAGAAGCTGAATGAGGCAAAAATAACAGTGAAGAGAATCCAGGTGAATATGTCTAGCTTGTTAAGTACAATTTATGGTACATTAGCTTTTTTGGCATTAAGGAAAATGGATTCATGGATCAACCTGAGTTAATCAAGACATGAAGCATGCAGAAGGTTTGGAGGGCATGAAAGATGCAATACAGGTGCCAAAATTGTTTCTCTGGATGAACATTAAGCTGATGCATCAGAACAAATTGGTCTAAATAACTTTTTCATGCACCAGTCGATAATGGGCCACAACTAGGTAATGGGTCACAGACAACTTTTATATAATTTGTTTTAACAAAGTAGAACAAATTACAATAATCAATCACTCCTGCTGACATCTAAGAATATGATTGTTTTTTCCACGTGGTATGGCAGTAAGGCTTAGCTTGTTACTTGTTGATGTGTGACCATACTCACTGTTTATATTGTTTTTGTTGTGTTTGCAAAATAGGTTTTATCATTACTAGATCACCATAATTTGTTTTCATCAAAAAAATGCTGTAGTTCATGCCGTTGTGTGGGACCTGAGAACAATGACCCATGACCTATGACCTGTGACCCATGACCTGTGACCTGTTATCTGCATTTTAGACCTGCTGTCAGTCAATTACTCTCAGCACAATTGGAGACAGTTTGTGTAAAGTTAGGGTATTCTTTGGAATCTCTAGGTTCTGGAGTATACATGTACTTCTTCCACTTAAAATATCTGTGAAGTTACTTGCCTTTTGATAATTTCCAGGCTGTCCCATGCCCACAAGTCATTCCAAGTGACACATTATATAAAAAGAGTTAAACTCTGTCAAGTTTGATTTGTTATGTTTGATGTTTTCTCTGAAGGAATTCTTGGAGCTGGATGAATTAAATTTTGAAAAAATACTGCAAAAGTCAAATAGGTCAGGAAAATCTTGTGTGGCTGTGCACAATGTGACATGCAACTGGAGTCAGGTTAGAGTTTTGAATTGATATTTTGTAAAATATGTTCATTTTCACTTCCATCAAGTGATGTATATTTACTTGACTTCATCCTAGGACAGGATTAATAGAGCCACTCTACAGGACATCAGCTTTAAAGTAGGAATGGTAATACTATCTGATTATCTGTCATTTCTGTTAATTTAGTTTCAGCATTGAACCAGTTTTGCCTGGTAACATCTTTTGATGTAAATAATTGGCTTTCAGATGAACAAATGGATTCCATGTTGCCAGGCATGGATTTTCATTAATGAACCCCAGGTGATGTTAACATGCAGTGAGAACAAAAAAGTAACACATGAGATGCAGGTGAGTGTGTCACTAATATTCTTATCATATTTCAGCTCCCTCTGTGATTTATTACAGAGGCATGGCAACATGGAATCTATTTGTTTTATTTGATGAAAAGGCAATGGTTAATGATAGGTGATCTTCACATTGAAGATTATTATGTTTTCATGTAAAAGCTTACTTGGTATTTCATTGGACAGGTGTTTGTATAATAAAGGTTCTTACTCACGATCTATTGCGGGTCAAATGTACATGAAGTTATTATCAACTGTTGCCTCTTTATCATATAAAATAAATAGATTCCATGTTGCCATGTGTCTGTACTAGGTCACAGAGGGAGGCAAAATGTGATAAAAATATTAGTGACACACTCACTTGGATCTCATGTGACACTGTAATCAAACTTCTCACCAAATGTTAAACATGTCAACATGTTATCTTCACATGTGAAAAGATCACTGTTGCTAAGATTAAATATAGTGACATTTTGTTCTACTTTAAAATGAAATATTAAAGTGAATTGATTTAGTATTTCCTTGGTGTTTATTTAATAAAAAGAATATTACACGGCAGCTTGGAGATACAATATTTCTCATCTGATGTTGAAACATATTTCTCTTCTTCTCTTTGCTCACCTGTGAAATATTCTTCAACACTCAAGGAGAAGTTTCTCCAAGCAGCCATGTAATATCCTCTATATATCAATCCCTGCATAATTCAGCTTGTATTAAATTATAATGAATGTTATATTTTTTATGGAAATAGGGAGACCTTTGCATGGTTGTTGGACCAGTTGGTTCTGGAAAGGTATTATGGCTAACTTCTGGTGTGCAATTAGCAGCACATAAAACAGGTCATAGTTGTAATGGCATGTCTTTATAATTTCCACGCTGTCCCATGCTCAAAAGTCATTCCGAGTGACACATGATATAAACAGTGTCATACTTAGTAGAGTTTAGTTAGTATAAAAGTACTGATCCTACCACTGCTTGAAACATAACAAACACAGCCCATTTTCAAATATTTTAGTGGAGATTAACCCTTTCATTACCAATATTCATTAATAATTCTTCATACTGTCTGCCATACAATTCTTATGATGTTAATTCAGAGAATTTGGTATTAGATCAACTATGTGTGATAATCCCCTAATTTATGTTTCTTTTTATTCTCATCACATGTCTGCTTGATGTTGTGTTGATATGGTTATATGGTTAGCAGAAATTTTGTCGTGGTCACTCATGGGAGTTAACCCTTTAACTCCCAAGATCTCATTGGTGATTCTCCTTACTGTCTGCCAAATGATTTTCATTATGTTAGTTTGGAGAATTTAGTATTGAATCAATAAGTAGTCCCACAATTGATATTTTTCTTTATTCTTATCACTTGTTTGCATGGTATTTTATTGATATAGTAAGGAGAAATCCTGTCTTGGTCACTTGTGGGAATTAAAGGGTTAAAGGTTTAAGTTAAACAAATCAATTTTCATTTGGATGCTTTTATCTGGTCTAGTCAATATTTATGCCACCAACAGTTTTGACCCTTCTCTGGGAAATAACAAATCTTGTGTATCAGTATAAAATATCAGTATAAAATGTTTTAAAATTTCTTTGTTGGGAGCTATGTTACATGAATGATGTGTACTGCACAGTAAGTTAATCAAGTTGTTGATGTATTACTTCATAGTCTTCTTTGTTGATGATGCTGCTGGGTGAGTTATGCATTACTAAAGGAAACCTACAAATCAAAGGCAGAATTGGTTATGTCCCACAGCAAGCCTGGATTTTCTCTGGATCAGTGAGACAGAATATTGTATTTGGACAGACATTTGAGGCAGACAGATATGATAATGTTATCAAAGCATGTTCCTTAAAACAGGTAAAACTGTTGCCTTGATCTCTTTTGATTTCTTTGAACCTATGTTGCTGTGTTCTAGTTTATAATTAGTTGTTGTATAATTGTATAAGCATTTATTTTTCAAGCAATATACTCAGTTTTTGTTGAATTTCTACAAGATCTTTTTGCAGTTACAACTCCACTGACTCATTTCTATAACTTACATGCAGCTGGCTCTTTTATTAAAATATATTATGAATACACTTGATCTGTATTTGTATGTTTCAAGTTGCCATAAAGGGCGTGGCTCTAGTAATAATCATTCCACCACACTTTATCCAAAGAGATATGAGGCCATTCACATCCTCTGGAAGAGAACCTTCACCCTTAGACTACATTATGCTATGATGAAGTTTCTGCTGCACCCTCCTAAATACTTTTTTTTTCAATGCAGCTTTTCTCTTGGTTTACTTAACATAAATTTGTCATCTGATCTATCGTAACTAGCACTGAAGAAAGCAGACATTTTTTCTGTAGACTAAAATGTGTCCTGAATAAGTCACATAATGCCAATCAAGAACTTATTGTTGATGTCAACGTCTCTGTGAAGGATATGGAGTTACTTCCAGAGGGAGACTTGACTCTTATTGGTGAAAAAGGTGTGACGCTCAGTGGTGGACAAAAGGCACGAGTTTGTCTGGCAAGGTTGGTTTAATTACAGACTGTGGTAGTTTTTATGTAAATCGAGTTTTTTAACTAGCTACTAACTAACTACGGTGCAGAAGAGTAAGAGATAATTATTTAGAGGACAGGCCAAATGAACTAAGAGTGAGCTAAATGGCCCATAGTACTCACAAGATGCAGTGGAACAAACACTGAAGCGCTTTAAAACTAGGTCAGATTTTTAGTCGACTGAGACTATTTCTTTCCATACAAATCCTTATATTTCGAGCATTGCATAACGTAAACATAATCACATGTTTACGGTGACCCATAGTTCGAGTTTGGGTTACCTGTGGTAACGTGGCCGCCCACCTAAGACCACAGTGCGTAGTTCATAATCGGCTGCTGTCCTGGTTTTCGCAAATTTTTCTTCTTTGTCACGACTTTCTTGAGTCAAGATTGCCCTCTGGTACAGCTCGTAATTGGCCATCAAGCAAAAACGGAATTTATGTGGAAATGTTCGTAGTTTGTCATTTTCTTATTTTAGGTGTTATTTTCATTTATTACAGGGCTGTATATTTTAAAGCAGATATCTATCTTCTAGATGACCCACTTAGCGCTGTAGATGTCCGTGTAGGAAGGAAACTTTTTGATGAGTAAGTCAGACATAACATCCATGTTGGCGAAGGTTTTCTCGGTTTTTCTATCGCTACCAGAAACACTCTTTGTTGAGATTTTTCAACGAGATCACTTGGAGCCGGGATTTTATTCATTGAGCTGTACAGCGGAATGTATATCGAAAGAGAACCGAAAATTGGGAACTTTTTCAACACTTAGAGTATGATTACTTTGTACAGGTGCATCGATGGACTTCTGAGACAGTATCCAAGAGTCCTTGTCACTCATCAACTTCAATATCTTCGCAATGCGACAGAAATTTTATATCTTGAAAAAGTATGTAACTGATAGTAAGGCAATGTTTAGAAATTTGTCTATGAAGGCAAGTCTGTGTCAAACCATAAAAAAACTGATTAAAACTTAATTTTCGAACTACATAATACTTTAAACCAAAAATTAAAGCTACTGAAAAAAAATTAATAAACACTCTGGCCAAGTTTTCATTCTTTGCGGTTTTTAACTGAAGAGTTATTCGCTAAAATGTGTAACATAAATTTATAAGGCCCACTAAAGGACATATGGAATAGAATAAGAAATATGGTCAGTTTTGAGCTCCGTCACGAGATAGATGTTCGCGTGGGACTGGGAAAAAATTGTGATTCCCCATAAGGTATCGAACCTTCGGATTCCGCGCTCCGATATTCTACCAGTGAGCCGCAGAGACTCTATGGTGACTAAGGCCCATTACGAGCCAGTTCAGCAGGATTGTTAATAGTGTCATGTCTGAGGTTTGATTCGTCACGAGGAGCCAGAATTTTTTCTTTGTCCCACGCTCGTGACACGACGAAAAACATTTTTCTCTAATTCTTTACTTACTTCAAAACTTACCTTCCGTCTCATTCTATCAACAAAACATAACAATCGCCCATCAATCGCCCGAAATAAATTTTCTGAGGCAAAAATAAATGAAAACAGCTGTCTTTAGTGTTAGTTAGCATGGTTTGATGCATTATTTAGGAATACCTCGGGACACTACTAAGGATGGGATAACTCTCATGCATTAAGGTAAAATTTATATTTTGACGGACATGAACTGATTGTGTGGGTCCTCTGAATGGCTTTGGTTTGCAGGGGAAAATTCATAGTCAAGGAAGTTACACGGACCTTGCCAATGCTGGTGTAGATCTGGTTTCCCTGCTGAGGGTCCGCAATGATGATAACGATGACGATAACGATGACGATAACGATGACAAAGATAGTGCCATTGACGAGGATTCAGAGCCAGTACAACCTTATCCAGTCCATGATGTTATTTTTAGAAGAGGGAGTGGGGCGAAAGGTGTGAATGCTTTCAACCGATGGAGTACTGCATCGTCAATTGATATAGAGGGAGACTTCGAGGCCATGGCTAACAAGGTATGCTCACCTAGAACAAAATTTTGGCTAGGTTGAAAAAGAAGGGGTACTACCTAATTGCAAATCACTTGGCTCTTCATGACATCGAAAATGTGTTTTAAAAAAAGCATTGCTTATAAGAATCCTTTTTCTACTGAAGTCCGACTTTTGAGTAACTTGTTTCTAATAATACGTGTCGAACTTGAACCAATATCAAAGACTAAGAGGATAAATCGCTTTAGCTTTATCAAAATATAATGATTTTCTCTTAAGGCTAAAGAGAAGCCGCTGGTTGACACTGAAGAACGACCAAGAGGAAGTATTGCATGGAGTTTGTACGTGAGATATTTCAGAGCAGGAGGAAATTATCTGTTGTTACTTCTGCTTCTGGTACTTTGTGTAGCTGCTCAGGTAACACTGCTATGTATGCTGAAATTTAACGAAGTGAGGTACGATTCGTAGAAAATTTAAAAAATCGGTTGAGCGTTCAGCGCGAAGGAGTCTTAAAATCAAGTGGTACAAACGAAGATTTTGTTACATCATGGAAAAATGTGGGGGTCGCAAAACCTCTCTTTACTCGAAGTAAACAAAACCCAAGAGGAAATTTTTATTGTACCCTCGAAAATTGCGGCCAGAATGGGAAGAAAACTTTCTACTATAGAATAATTAATATATAAGACTTACGGGACACTTCTTTTAAAGTTTATTAGCTCTATATCTGTTTTTAAGCGCAGTCTAGCCTTGTCTGCCACGAGTCTCCTAGATCTCAGAGGTAGAGCATCCGAACTGCTAATCGAAAGGTCGTTGGTTCGAGTCCTATTGGAAGTACATTTACCTAGTTAGGCGGCTAAGCCTGTCATGAGTCTCCTATGACTCAGCGGTAGGGCATCTGAAATACTAAGGAAGGTCGTCGGTTCGAGTCCTAGAGGAAGCACTCTGATTTTTTATTTTTTCTGAGTATGCTTATGTGATTCACTGCATGAATACATAATCTTTTACTTAAATCATCAGGCTTAACATTTACCATCTTCATTAACATCATCATTGCGCAAGAGCATCAAATTCGACATTTTTATTCTCGCAGTATACATGTAAAAAGGGTGTCACGGGTAGCTTGCCACGAGTCTCTTGAAGCTCAGTGGTAGAGCATCCGAGGTATTACTCGGAAGGTCTTTGGTTCGATGCCTATTGGGAGCACTCGGATTTTCTTTTTTCTCCGAGTATGGCTGTGTCTTTCAACAGAAAGACAGTTACGAAAAACTGTAATTGGAGCACCATGTAATTTCACTTGTATTACGTAAAAATAAGGCACGCCATTTAGTAATCAGAATCAAAAATTTTTCCACTGATTCGACCGAGATCTTGCCTTTAATGCCCTAGTTAAATGATAGATTTCCGTTAATGAGAAATATTTAGTCATTCCTCTCTCTGTGTAGTCCCTAACAGTGTTTGCACGGAGTATTGTTTACCGTTCATTTTTTAACATTAAGTTTTGTATCACTCCTCAGGGTGTGTTCACCTTAAGTGACTGGTGGCTATCACAGTGGTAAGATGTCTTGGGTATTATCAATCATCTAGAACAGTTAACCCGGCAAACTTTACTCTTTGTGGAGAAAATTCAACCCAGAATGCCGTCACTGGCTGATAATTTTCAAATGAATAAAGGTGGTTAATTTCTATCAACTTTGGCCACTGTAAATAGTTTAAAAGCTGACATTTCGAGCGTTAGCCCTTCGTCAATCGCTCTGACGAAGGTCTAACGCTTGAAACGTCAGCCAATAATTTTCAAGTCAGCGGAGGGTGCAACTTTCAAATTTTTTTGTTAAAAATCCTTGGTTATCTTTACTGTAACCTAATTCGGAATCATCTTATTTAATGTTCTTCGAAAAAATCGTAAGTGTTTTTTATTTAGTCAGTGTAGCAAGTAATTGTAGTATACTTTTTTAGGTCGAATTCCCAAGGTCAAGAAATGTTCGCTTTCAAATTTGTTCAAGCGGCTATGCATGATCCCACGAGTGGAGAAGCGAACGTACACAAGACTTACATGATCATCTATGGAGGTCTGGTGACAACAACTCTCCTTCTGTCGTTCCTCCGAGTTCTGCTGTTCTTTCATGTAGCTGTAACGTCGTCTGTCAAGCTTCACAATGATATGTTTGATGCTGTTATTCGAGCACCGCTTTACTTCTTTGACACAAATCCAGCAGGTATGGTGAACATGGTGAACATTTCAAGCCAAACTTTGGATCTGATCTCTGTGTTCTAAGCCAGACAAATTGGCGAAATCGTTCTCCGTTAGTTTCCTCCTCTTCCATTTGGTGGTTGACGAAATTGTGGCAAAACTAGTTCTAAATACTGACTCGAAGTAATGAACTGAGTAGATTCGCAATGAGGCTGCGATGGTAAGGAGCTTTACACAATGAGACAGCACATGACTATGACTGGTTGACTAGGCAAAACCTGTCCAAGAGATCAGATGAACAAATAGCTTCGAAGTTACCGTGTGTCTGTTCAGTATGACGTCAAAAGGTGGTTAAACAAAAAAGTGGCACACGAGACGCAGCAGTGTATCATCAATGTTCTTACCACATTTTGCCGTGTTCTGTGATCTATACCTGTACAGACGGACGACAAAATGGAATTCAATTGTTTTAAATAGTTAGGGAGGAAAATGATGCGGAGGCTAATTGACCGGGGGGCTTACTGAGACTCGCTAGCCATTTGCAAGTGAACATGGCTGTGTCGTTGTGCGTTATTCTTCAGTTTTTTTGGTGCGCGTTGGGGACTCAGTCTTTTACCTGTATGCATAGAAAGGCTTGCATGCGCGTGGATGGGTATTGTGTCCGGTAATTGAGGCACGCTGGACGCTGCTAGGCTTTGGTTAACTTTGTCGTTCAAGGTAAGGTTTAACTGTTACTGAGGAAATGGTTTTCTTTTTGTTTTCAGGTCGGATTCTGAACCGGTTCTCCAGTGACACTGCACACATGGATACCCTTATTCCGGAGACATTTTTTGACTTTCTTCAGGTGTTTTGAGTTTTATTGCTTTTTCAGTTACTGCCATCCACCCATCGAGGATAAATGTAATTTAAATTCGCAGCCGAAATGTAGTTGTAACTATTATATTACGTATCCATTAACTTTGGAACAATCAAACCTGCTATACTGATTCTCAATTACTGAACACAATACTCACCCACGTGCAAGCAAGCCTCATTATGCTTAAATTACTCGAGTTAATCTGAATGTCAGTATCAAACATATCTTACTCGCTGATTTTGTTCTGCATTTAGCTTGGTCTGTTGGTTGGAGCGGTAGTGATCATGAATGTGATAACAATGCCCTTCATCTTGGTGGGAGTGGTCCCTCTTATACTTGTATTTTGTTGTCTGAGAAACTATTACCTGAAGACCACCAGAGAAATAAAACGCCTTGAAGGCACAGGTAACCCAATAAACGTTCCTTTTGTAAGTTTTTTTCATAGACTGCGGCTGTCGTGTTTTTTTGCTATGACACGAATGCATATTGTGTCTGGTATTGTCTGTGAGTGAATATTGTGCCTTATTGTTTTTCTTTTTTTTTTTTTTAAGGTGATTTGATATTATCAACGAGGTTGATAACGTAATTAAGACTTTTAAAGCTGACGTTTCGAGCGTTAGCCCTTCGTCAGAGCTCTCCCACCGACGCAACACCACAGTTTCTTTAAAAATTACCGCCTTCATTCATTTTTTTTTAAGCCCGAAGCCCAGTGTTATCTCACTTGGTTACAACATTAGACGGCCTTACGCCCATCCGAAGTCACAGTTTGCAAGACGTTATGATTCACGGGTTCAATATTTGTCAGGATCGTCACACACAAACATGGTTTCTTTTTATTGCCACTTCGAGATGGTTGGCGTATCGTTTGGATTTCCTGTGTATGATATTTGTGTTTATGGCCTCATTTACACCACTTTTCATCGCTGAAAGAGGAGGTAAATTATACTATACAAATGTTTCTGAATGTTTAGTTTCAATGTTTGCGGGGTCTGGTACAAACTCATTCAAATTATCCCATTTATTATGGAAAACGAGGCAACTTGTGATGTTGTACCTTACGGACGTTTATGCGGATTAATTTGCTTTTGCTGGATATGAGATGTTTTACCATAAACAAAAGTAACGGAACATTTCTGTTAGATTTGTTAGTTAGCTCAGTTGTTCTCTGCAGTTGTAGTTTTTTTGTATCTTTTGTTGTTGTAGTTGATTTTGTTGTCGTTTTTACGTTTTAAACGCCCCTGGACAGTTTATATGATGGTATCATGAAAAGGGGCCTCTCAAGCCGGGCAAAATGTGACTGCGCTTTCACTGTGCGAGGACCACTAATTCACCCTCCGTTCAAACAACGATTACCCGTCCGATACACAATAATCGTTTATGCAACGCACTTAGAGAGTCTCATTGTACCATTGCCTTTTTTTTCTTCCTAGCAGAAATAGACGCAGGCTTGGTAGGGCTGTGCTTAACTTATGCTGTTTTGTTAACTGGCCAGTTTCAGTGGTGTGTCAGGCAAAGTGCAGAGGTCGAAAATCAGGCAAGTTAATAGTTAGACTGAAAATGTAAAAGTACACCAGGGCGCTCTTGCCTCTTAAGGTTCAAAAGGAGAAAATAGCAGTCACCTCACTATTAATTCATGAAGCCTTAAACTTCCCCTCTTATTTTTGAGGAGCACGTGGTGGAGGCATAACGTTTATCCTCTATTTTGATAACATTTAGATGACGTCAGTGGAGAGGATAATGGAGTTGTGTCGTCTAGAATCTGAGGGGAACTGGCACGGCAAAGTATCTGTCCCTGCTTCCTGGCCGCAGCTTGGTCTCATAACTGCTGAGAGTGTGTCATTTAAGTATCATCCTACTCTCCCACGGGTTTTGAAGAATGTGAACTTTTGTATTAGAGCACAGGAAAAGGCATGTAAAAGAGGATTCTCTAGAATACTTGGAGTGGGGTCGTGCTAACTCGGGAAAAGTCCTCAATTGCTTCTATAAAGTGCTACTCGACGCTCCACGCGATTCTTAACTTAACAATACCCATCAACCAACGAGAATGCTCTCGGTGTCGAAGTTAAATAACTTGTATAAATCAGTGTGCCTGCGCCGCAGACAAACTGCACGGATCACGATTGGCTGCACTGCAGGCTATGAATAAAGTAATTTAAAAAGGCAAATTCTTTACTGTATATTTAAGAGCGGAAATGATTTGTTTACATTTGTATGATAAGCTTAAATATCAATGTCATACTCGACTGCGCCTCGTGTACCATTTTTTCGTTCTTAGTTCATTTTGACGTCATCTGTGTTCTACCACTGAAGAAATCCACGGAAACATGGAATATATTTGTTAATTAGTTACATTTTGTAACATTTGATTGGACAGGTGGGTATTGTTGGCCGAACTGGTGCTGGTAAATCTTCACTGTTAGCAGCTCTTTTGAGGCTCGCTGATTCAAGTGGAACGATAAGGATCGACGGCATTGACATTGCAGATCTCGGTCTCCACGAGTTGAGGTCTAAATTGTCGGTTATTCCACAGGTATGTGGTGAATTATTATGAGCCTAGAACACCCCTGATATTTATTTATTGCGGTGATCTTATTGATGCCTGAAAACAGACGATTATGGTCATGTTAACTTGTGGAATTTAGGCGGATGATATATTGATTTTTCTGTCGGATAAACGTAGAAAAGTGTGTTAATCGTGGGATACATCATCCTCAAAGACATTTTTTGAACGGTCAACTGCCTGAAAAGAAGAAAGCTTTTCGCCTTCTACTTCAGCCGTACACTAGCTGTGAAATTAGATGGAGATATCTTTTCAGAGGAGAAGGATGAACTGTGTCGTGGAACTTGTAGCTGACGAAATTACAAATTACAAATCGTAATCATATGTCGACGGAAAGACCCTAAATCTTTGTTTCCAAGTAGGCGGACATTATTTCTAGGCTGAGACAACTTAACATCTTCCATCAGGTTTGTCGCCACTTACGTGTGTAAGCGCAAATATTACACGAGCCTATCAGCATGGCAACAGCCTTGGTTGCGATTTATTATATTTATATATATATATATTTTTTACCGGTTTGTTATACCTTTTCTATCTGCGCTTTCTACGACGACATTTTATCCACTGGGTAACGATATGTTGGTTGGCCATTTTATCAATAGATGAGTTCATTCTTTGTTCGAAGAACTGAGGCATGGTTGTCATTACATTTGTTGAAAGTTTAGGCGTCGTTGTAGGTAGTTTATATTTTGGTTTTTTTGTTCGAGTGTTGATAATGATGTTCATAAAACATGTGATATCAAAAGAAGCAACTGGAAGGTGCATCGCGAATAAATTAGTGGAGGAGAATTCCAACCATAATACGGTGTTATAGTTTGAATTCTCCTCCGCTAATTTATTTTTACACTTTTTTCTGATCATTTATATAATATCTTCAGGACCCTGTGCTTTTCAGTGGAACACTCAGGAAAAATTTGGACCCATTTGATGAGTACAGTGAGATGGATTTATGGCGTGCACTGCATGAGGTGAGACGCTGAACGGTACATCATAACCGGCAACAATCGCCACCTTTTGCTCTTATTCCAAGTTATATCTGTTTTAAACTTGTATAAACAAAAATATTTTAGAAGTGCTACAGTAGGTGGTGCAAGTTCAGAATCACTTGTGATGCGCCTGGGGATCGCTCGTTGTGATGAACATAGACGACACATCGTGCATGTTTTTCTCCTTAATTGGTCTTAACTTTATTGACAAACTCCTTTGAACTTAGAAGCACGTAAGTCCTAGGAACTCTGCTGTCAGCCAGTTCTGTCGGCTGCTGCTGCTTGACACACCTTCTGTCTGTCTTCCGTCTCTGGCACCCATATTTATATCGTCTAACTGACTGACTTTGACTTCTCCACGCTGACTGCCTTGTGTGCCTCAACACTCTGAAAACTGTGGCTTTCAGGTGTTCGAATCAATCAACATCCTCCTTTCTCTTCCCCCTTTTTGTGCTGTTATTTTAATAAATTATTCGTGGAAGTTTTCCTTTTTCTCTTCATTACCTTTCATCTCTTTCCTTTTCTTGTTCATGTGTCAGCTTATTGGTGTATATATGAAATCAGCATCGTTCCACAACAATTCTAATACCTTCCCATATCACCTTTTTGTGGCACTTTTCTCATCAATATTTTCCCCAATTTCGGTACTCTTTTTATTTTTCTACACAACGATTTCCTAGACTTTGTGGCCTTTTTGTGTAACAGAACTTGATTGTTATTTTCCGCGTTATATAATTACAGGTTCAACTAAGTGATATGATATGCAGCTTGACTAATGGCTTGGACGGTTTGTTAACCGAGTCAGGATCTAACCTAAGTGTTGGCCAGCGTCAGTTGATATGTCTTGCACGTGCTATTCTCAAAGGTAACAAGATCCTTATCATGGATGAAGCCACTGCTAACGTTGATCACAGGTACGCTTCTTGTCCTGCACTTGACGCCACACTTAATCGACAAACTTTATTTAGAAAGGCGAGAGTATTTTATGTCTAGAAATACTTTTGAGATCGTAGTTGCTGCACTGAATGCCTTTTCGCCGAATGTCGTCCCGGTGCCACTCTTTCAAATTTGGCAGAAATATATCACTCATTTTGGACTGATAATTGCCCCAAAAATTCTGATTATTAACTAACTGTTTGGCTGCGGTAATCTGATACAGTCATGAAAGGAGTTACTTATGAAAAAGAATGGTCTGACCATCTCAGTCAATGTCTATAACAATATCTCGGAGAATGGTAATCATGGAAACTGCATTCAATTAATTTGCCGTAAAGCTATAGAAGGTTTGTTTCTTTTAGCGATCGTCAAGTTAACTTTCATTGACACTAACTATTTCTCTAAGTTAAGAGTTGTTGGGCTTCCTTAGGAAGTTTTTAGGTAAGATATTCTATCTGCCCCTTTTTCCTTACAGTGTAAACAAGAAATATACTCAGAGTCCTCCTTTCTTTTCTTCATTAAGATTTCTTTGAAGGTTTCGTTATTTTAAGGCTTTCTAATTGCGTGGTAGGGATATGAACAATTTATTTTTTGACTCTGAATATATGAAAATCATATATATGAACTGCGGATTACGAAATATGAATGAAAGCGATCTTAACAGTAATGAACACTACCTAAGCAAAAAGCAGTGTTACTACTGTAATCAAAGTCATTTATTCATCACTTCACGGGTTTATTAGGAACCGAAATAATGATCAGCTCCCATTTGTCTTGTTAGCTCAGTTGTTAGAGCACTGCACCAGTATCGCAGAGGTCTAGAGTTTCTAAATTTTTTCAGCCTTTATTTTCACTCCTGCTTAAGTAGTGTTCATTATTGCGAAGATCGCTTTCATTCAATTTATTTTCTATAACTTAAATCGCGTTTGATTTATTTAGGACTGACTCCTTGATTCAAGAAACGATCAAGAGAAGGTTCAGTAATTGCACTGTTCTTACAATCGCCCACCGACTAAAAACTATCATGGACTGTCATCGAGTTATGGTAAACTGATAATCTGCGTGATTACTATAATTACGGGCTTATATCGAATATTTTTAATTATGTTTAAATTATCTTTGAAAAACCACAATTTTTTATTGGTTACCTAGTTTCTTACCTATTATGTCAGAAACCCGCAATGAGAAAGTTCGACGCGAGGTTCTTCTTTGCGCATTTTTATGCGTTAACATACAAAATTTAAAATCCGGCTAAACTTCTATCAACATAAAAACTCTCTTTTTATTCCTAATAGTTTATGGAAGAGTGTTATACAAAGAACTTTTCTTTAAAAATGGTTCTCCGGATTGCCATAGTTCTTATTGTCAATACCTAATGTACTTTGCACTCCTTCTATTATAACACAAATCATCACGTTTAGTAGTTAAAAGTAGAACAAAAACAGCAAGTGACAAATTTGTCTGGCCAGGGTTATGTTGACATGAATGGCTGTTCTGTCTTATATTTACATATAATTTTGTATGATTAAATCGCACCATGAATATTTAGTAATTGCCAATCTAATGGGCCATTTTTTTTTCAATTGTGGGGGTAGGGAGAGGGAGGAAGGGAACATAGTCCAGCTGGAGGCCTTAGGATTAGATGAGGATAATTTAAAGGGAGCTTATATCAGAGACGAGAGTAGTTATGAAAACGAAACGATTATGACGTTTACTTCATTTTTTATGGTTAATAAGGTCCTGGACAGTGGGCGGCTAAAGGAATTTGACGAGCCTCACTTGCTTCTGCAAAACAGATGGGGTCATTTTTATCGCCTTGTGCAGCAGACAGGATCCCTCACATCTGCTCACTTAGCGCAGGCTGCCAGACAAGCCTTTCTACGCCGGCATCAGCCACAGGCTTCCTATGCAGTTCCAGATTCCTCGAGAAGTTATCTGTCTTCATACATTCCCATAACTGGCTTTACTGATTTACAACTTGAATCTTGTGTTTAAATTTATTTATTATTATGTTAAAAACCTAATTTAGAACATGTGCAATGTTAAAGATTCAATACTTTTGGGAAGTAAACTATTTATTAATGTCCTCGATTTGTCCAGGAAATCGTGGGAACGCAATTACCCATCGTTACGTATGAAAGTATTCACAATTACTTCTGCCTTAGACGAGTGTAATTTGAAAGCCTATCAAAACATCTAGTGGCCATAAATAACAAAATGCAGGCGCTTTGAATACGATTTCTTTGTGTATCAATATTCTTAATAGAATTATTTTTTCGTGTTAGCTTGTGCGTCCTCGGTTTAGTATGGAAAACTGATATTGCTCTCCATTACTTTCTTGGTATTCCTCATTGAGTAATCTTGAACGCTAAGGATGTTAAGTATATAATTAATTCCATTCGTGCGCGCTGGATATGAGATGGAAGGTGCTGTAAGTGGCCATAACTATCTCGGTCCACCAACCGTGGACAGAATAATTGTTTTGTGAAAAAAACCAAACAGAATATGGTAAAATGCGCTTCAAAACTTTGCAAACAAATAGTACAACAGCTGTGATAAAATGGTCTGTACAAGAATAAAATCTCATAGAAATGAAAACATACCTTGAATATGAGTTGCGAGAAGATAGCTGATATACCTATGATACAAGCGCTGTCACTGTTGTATATTTTCACTCCTTTTGACAACATTCTCGATTGAAGAGTTCGCGTATTGGAATCAAAGAGTGCATTCTAAATTTGCAGGGCAGAAACTGGATATCTCTATGAAGTATATTTCTCAGAAGAATATGTATTGTGTACATTACGATGGTTAATTAATGGTTCGAGATTTTTTCCGTTAACAACGTGGATTACTTAGGATATTCGTAGAGTTTGTTTATGGATGGGTTTTATAAAGTGTTATTGAAATTTGGAGAGTATATGTTTGTTTGTTTTGATGTGATATTTATAATATTATATCGCGGTAGTCAAGGGAGGAAGTCTTACAAGTCTTACAACCTCAATTACAGAGAATGAACAGACAACTCTCCCACGTTCCCTTATGAGCCACACTTGTTTAGAATGGGTCAGGGACTCTGGAGCTTAGTTATGACGTCACAAGTGGCTTGTGTCCTTAAGACAGAGAAATATGGAACTTAATGTAAATTGCAAGTTGTTAGAGTAACAGTGAAACATCTGATTTACCTAAGTAGGTCATTACACGTTTTAAACGACATACTACTCGAAAAGTACTTGTTTTTGAGGCGGAACTCCGAGAGAAAAATTTCGAAAATCCATCGCCGAATAACTAATACATGATGTAAATATGACAAACATGTAGTGGGGGATGGTTCGACGAAGGGCATGGAGCACTTCATATGGACAGAAAATTGCGTTACAGCAGAAAAATTGTTTCCTTATTAGAGTCAAAAGTGCTATATTTTCGATGTAAGCGTCCGCTTGACAGAGGTGTCCGTTACATGTAGATTCGTTGTAACACTTACTATCAGTCCTCGATGTAGAATTCAACAGCGGCTGAGAGTTGGTACGCTTATGAGGAAATACTGAGTATACACCCTGGGGTACACTATCCCGCTAGGGAAATAGCGGGAAATACGTAAACTAAATATGACAATGTCCTTTTTCTTGAAAAGCGAAATTATCATGTTAACAAAAGGTCTTTTCCTTTCTCGCGTTGATGAAATCAAACAGCGATCCGAACATTATTGAGACTTTTTCTTAAATATTTATTCACAGCCGAAATGGAGGCGTTCGCTTAGAAAGTGTGAATGTTTCACCAAACAAAAGGGAAATTTACATTTATGTCATTAACACCGGGGTTCAGAGAGAAATTTCCATTAAGCCGAAGTAGCAACAACACGTAACAACAACACGTGTAGAGACGAAATGTCAATGTGATTAGTGGCGAGAGGCCGGTTCATTCATTGATTCGTGACTTAAGCTGATTAAATCGCGATGTTTAATTACGCTAAGCACCCATGATTACTCGAGCGTTAACGAAGTATTCATTCGAAATGATTAAACCAGTTTTAAATACTGATAGATGCTTTAATGATTGTACATCAAGCTGTAATGGAAAGGATAATACTTCAGTTTTAAACATTTTCAATCGAAGCAGCACCTCAAACACTCGAGTAAACAAATTCGAGCATTTTTTACTGCATGTAATTACAGTATTTTGTTTTATTCAGGTAAAAACCATTTCGCTGTCATTATTATGGGTTCAGTATTATTTTGCATTCGGAAATGTTTTACGGACTTCATATGAAATTGACTCAAAAGGCACAAGAAAAAAATTGAAAAGGCTGTTTAAAAAAGGAAAAGAAAATGTATTTTCAGTCGTGTTCATGGTGTGTGCTTTGAGAAATTTGACTTGGCGTTGAGTTTTGTTGTTTCATTTGGTTTTCCAACTTGTTAGCCGGCACCTGCTAGTATAGATGACCACCTGACGCACCCTGGAGTGTGCTATTGTTTGAACTTCAACAAGCAAACTTTAGCGACATTCCAAATTCAAATGAAAACAACGCTGTGATGAAACTGTATTTATTTTTCCAATAATTCCATTTGGTTCAGCTCGTCTCGCGCATGACAAAAAGTAACGTTGTGTACAATACTGAGAATGTTTCATATCATGGGGTGTTCTAAGACTGACTTTCAACGGTAGTCGCCTTCAGCAGTAATTTTGGATTGTTTCGCGTGTAGCCTTAGTAAGCGATGTTTTTAATTTGGTTGTTTTTCTATTCGATTTGGTTCTTGGGAACGGAAGGTAAGTTAAAGTCCAAGGCAGTGTTCGCCGCGAAATGATAAAGCGGCACCACTCTTGTGTACAGATATGACTGTTGACGAGGATTGATTCATTCACTCAGACGTTGATTAACACCATCTTTGATAAGCACATAAGCATTTTTTCCCTAGTTTTTACTACAATAACAAACGAAAACTATTTTTCGTTGCAAACAACAAATAGTAAAAACAAAATATGAATAGCGAACGTGATGTGACAATCTCAAATAATTCATTGTACTAATGTCACTTTCTAAAGGGAAAATGGGTGGAATATTTCGAATAAAAATTTGTTGTACGAAAAGAGAAAGAGTAATTATTACCTTGAGCATCGATTTACATTTTGAGGGAAAATCGATCGAAATTCAGAAATGTTCGAAATGATAAAACAAGAACTTTTAATCTCACTTTGTAAGCGTCAAAATAACTTCAAATGTTCAACAGGACGAGTTAAAACTCAAACTGAAATGCAAATGAAGGTACAAAACACATGAATTCGTATACACTAGTGTAACACACGCAAAATCTACAATGGCAGGTAACATTTGTTTTGTTTCTTCTATTTTTTTTTAACAAATTTAAAAGGACGCGACTCCAGACGAAAACGATAGAAAATCTTATCAAATTTAGAGGATGTTACATTATGCCCTCATAGGTGATTTAACCTCTCCTTCTGTGAAACTTTTTAAACGAACACAACCTCTGAGAAAAACGATAAATTATTCATCGAACAAACATGCCAAAATGCAAATTAGCGTCCGTTCATTTCTCACTCCGTCAAGATGAATGTTTACTATTCCAATTTACATTTCAAGACATAAAGTAACTTTGTGATGTGGTAGTGAATATTTCGCTTTTACAACCTTCAACTTATTTTCCAATATACATTCAAAGAACGAGTTACTTTATTTTTCAGTATGCGAAAACAAGTACTTTTTGTAGGTTTGTCTCCTTAAGTATTAAGTACGTATGTTTAAAACTTTCTGGTTATGTAACTTTTGTGGGTCTCTTTCAGCGATATTGGAACAAGATTTTAGTTTTTCAAATTAGTCACAACGCGTTCTGATAGGGGGAGCCAATTTTGCAGACAGCTGCCGGCCTTCCCTGAGTGGAAAAGAAACGTTTTACGAAGTATTAGGTTTTCTTAATTTCGGCCTTGATATTCTTGTAGTAGGGCGCATTAGAGGAAGGTAATTTGCAGGACCACTTTGATTGTAGTTGAAGCCGTTGAAGCCAAAATTATTTTGTTTTCCACCGGACCAAATATCTTTCCTCTTTAAATTGTTCTTCTATTCTTAATAGCTTGTGGCTAGGTTCTGTAAGGCTCTGCCGGGATACGCTGGGGAATGAGGTGCCAGGTTTTCGCTTCATCTGTTTGATCATTCTTTAGCAAGGTTCCGTTCCATAAGGGGTGAATTCCGAAACATCATCCTCGGCGAAAACTTCGTGATAGCTTCCCAGCGGAAATTTTCATTTAAAAAGGGAACTAAGATCGTTTAAATCTGCTTAACGAGGCCAGAGATTCTCTCTCGAAAACACAACAAAATTCGACATTCAATACGAGCCAGCCCTGGTAACGAGCTTTTAAGGAGAGGCGGCCCCTTAATGAACCTTGACAAACAGACCAGTATAACAGTCCTAAGCAATTGCACAGGGGCGGACAGTTTATGTGACTTATCTCGTTTATGCAGGACGTCACTCCAGGTTTATCAGCGTCCCTTCCAATCCAACTTTTTCGCATAGTGGAAACAATGTGACATTGATATGGCGCTATCACTTAAGTCAAGCTGACAGGGCTAATTTCCACCGACTACTGTTTGGTCAGTGGAGTGATGGCGATATTTCAACACCCTTGATGAGCTTGTCAAAGAATGGAAGTTTGGTTTCGCGCTCCAAACGTATTGAATGGATTGGAAACAAAACTACAGCCGCATTTCGACTTTATCGTGTGACTGCTCAAGATGGCGGAGAGTACGGTTGTATGTTAGAGTTCTCAGGGGCATTTACTGTGCGTCATACAGTACAGCTTGCAATAGTTGGTATGTAAATGACTAGTCTCTCGCAGTTGTCGTATTGTATTGGGAACTCTCTCTTATTTTTTCTTAACTAATTATTTACGGCATATTTTGCGATAATGTACCCTTATGGTACAGCGCTGGAGATAACTCCTCAAGACAATTTTTATTTTTCAGGTAATCTAGTTGGGCCACTTAATAAATTATTCAGTATTTTTATAAAGTGTTCATCGACATTAAATGACTGTTTCGGATATTTTTTTTTGTGCTATTATCATTTTGTAGCTCCACCGCAAATCAAAGAGAAAGGCAGCAACATAGCGAAAGTGGAGGCTTCAGTAGGTACCTCTGTCATACTACCGTGTCACGTGACTGGCAATCCTCAGCCGTGGATTTTATGGCAACGAGATGGACAAACATTGCAGAACGGCACAATATTGAGTGACTTAATAATACCAGGTGTTCTTGCAAATATGACGGGATTGTACACCTGTATCGCTGGCAACCAAGCTGGAATTGATAAATATCAAGTGTTGCTGCTCGTGACGTCATGCGGGCATTCTGGTGATATTACACATCTCGCCCAAGGTAAATTCACACCCAGGAGACTGTGCTTTAACATTTGTCGTACATTCACATTTTAAACAGATTTAGCATTACTATAATATTATGCAGTTACAATGCAACTGTATTTGATGTTATTGCTCGTAATGTTGCAATAATGTAAATAATCTACTGCTTCTTATCTCGCAGTTAATGCTATTAATTATCAAAATAGTGTGCTTAAGTTTATACTTTTTCCAGATTCACTGCACCAAGACCACAATCATGGTATGGACACCCCAGCCAGCTTCACCCCAACAATAGTAGTTTGTGTGATTTTATTCTCCATCTTTGGCGCCTATTTCTTTTTCCGATCTGCTGGAGAAAGAACCAAGAAGCTCAGGTACGAAAATTTGTACCGTTGGAATGCATAAACGGTCCTCTCATTTTGTGCTAAAGAACCTTCAGTTTATTTTTGAGTTGTCACTTAATAGTTTATAAGGAGTTGGAGGATTTTAACAAAGAGCCATTAAAACAGGCAACACCTGCGATAAAGGTAACATCCAAGGGCTGGTGGAGGTATCCGGTCTCAAAGCTTACGATTGCTAGTCGGATATCTCACCTTGGATGAGGTGAAAAGAGCTGATAACAAAGGATTTTAGATAAATTGACGTACACAACTTGGAAGAGATGATTAATTCTCAGTTTCAAGCTCTACATTACTTACCGCCAGAAGGTGACATCAAGCACAAAAAGTTGAACATAACCATACTAAACGTAAATATTTCCGTTCATTACAGGAAATACGATAGAATGCCACAGGATGAACAGGCAAGAAGCCTTATGGGTGAATGGTCGAACTTCGCCGACAATGGTGAAAAAATTTGAACACTTAACCTACATAAATGACATATTACCCAAAATCAGCCAGAAGTTTTGCTTTCTCGCCTGTAATTTATTCGTCACAACTCATTAAAATTTATTTGGAGCCTCAACGATGAAAAACCTTACGCATTCAATTCAATGACTTTATCGATCTTGAGAGTGGCAATTATTAGAAGATTGCTTTTGAGTAGACTGTGGTGGACTGAAGTTGGTGTCAGCAGTACAGGAATGCATGTTAACGCGTGATTCGAACTAAAGTGTGTGCAGGACTGTTCATTTCCAAAGGAGTTAACGTCTAAAATGCGAGGAAGTAGACATTCTGAGTCAGCAGTATCCCAGCATTTCTAAGGCTATACTACTCAAAACACCTACGTCCTTCCTCCTTAGGGAGAATAATTTAAATCGATTGCGAGGAAAAGATGCACTTCTCGTCAATTCTGTTGAAGACCTACCTCGCGGAGAGGATGAAGTACCAACAACAATTACACCCAAATGAAAAGACAGGCGAGGAATCTCTAAATATAACACTAATGGTGAGCAGGCATCGACTCTAATAAGGGTATTGAGGAATCTGTTAAATCTACCTCAAGATCTTAACAGTGGACACGAAAAACTAATCGGAATAATCACAATCAGTGAACAAAAACAGTTAGTTTTATTTAATGATCTTTTAGGGAACAGCAAGTTTCAAGTCTAACTAGTAACGGCTACAATAGGTTCTACTGTAATAATCATAATAATCACCACTTTAAAAACGTCCTTGCTGGCGAGATACTAGACGAACGAGACATAGGCTTTAAAAGACACATAGCAAGTAGTTAATGCCCTATTTAAAGCGATCTTCTAAATTTCACAAAGCTTGCAATAAACTAATGAATTTTTTTTCTTTAAATACTAAATTCTCATAAATATACTGCCATAATTTCAGAAAAACCCACCACTAAATGCTCGGCAGTGTCAGCCACAAAGTAGTGGCCCATTCCTTCTTTACTTTTTCATTTCATTCCCATTCAGGAATTGGTATGAAATCGCGGTAGCACTTAAAGATTCTAATGTCAGAGTGGTCCAAGCTTTTTCCCTAGCCAGTTCAAATTATATTATCAGTCGAATTCTGCTCAATACTGCTTGTAAACAGACAAACATTTACACCGTGATTCTCTTATGAATAAGCCAACGACAAGATATTGTTATGGCTTTATACAAGAGGTAAATAATTATCCATACTTATATAGCCTGAGCCAAGCATGCTCACCTAAAATCTGTGACTGTACTTTTTTCAACATGTTCACCGGATAAAAAAATTATTAAATCACTACTGATGTGTTATTTTTTGACAGCTCTTAGTGTTGCAGGTTTCTTCTGTTTATTCATTGTAGTCAGCATAAGAGAGATGTATGAAGTCAGCAAATCGTCCATTTTGTAACCCTGCAGAAACAAAATAGCTTTCGCGTCATTTACATATTATGCAGTGAACTGAATACTACGCACTCTTTTGTTGGTCTTTGTCTTATTAAGCTTAACATGCAGTCTTGTTGGCGAGATTGTCCCGAAGACATGCGAGGGCTTCGAGCAAACTTAACCACGAGTTTTCACTCCACTTTTTGCTCATCGAATGAAACATAAATTCTATTTTGCAGGTTGTCTTTACTGTTGTTCATCACTGTAGACATCAAATTGTGATTATAGCATCGGTGACACAGTCGGCTGGGGCTCGTGTGCCAGTTTCTTGTTCTATAACCCACACTTTGAAGTCATTTGTGAGTGAACAACTGAGGGTTACATTTGCATTGCAGCATACTTTAGGCGGCTAACTGTGTTCAACAGCGGAATCCATCTTACCAATGATGTTTCACATAGAAGCCTGCTTCCTTTCACCAGACTACCAATCGTCATATGAAAATACGTGTTGCCACTGCTCCAGTTTGAAATTTTGGTGAACGGATAGGTGGCGAGGATATCCTAAGAAACAAATATCACACTAAATTAGACGACAAAGCTGCTGTTGAACGGGGCAAACAAAATTTCTCTTTTCGCCATTCTGATATTTCAACAGTGCATGCCAACGCTATTTATGAGAAAGAATGAAATCCTATCCTTACTGCGAAAATAATGGTTGCGTTCGACAAGGGAGAATGCCAATGTAAACTTGCGGGAGACTCGAGCGGACAAAGAGACACTTGGGAACAGCAAGGAATCAATCTTAAGACAATATGATCATTCCACCTTCGAAGCGAAGATGAACGACATCATCCACAAGCCACATACATACGCTATGGCAAAGGAAAGAGAGCCAATCGTTGGTGATGGCCTTGTTTTTCTGCACCAACTGGAGGAAAAAACTTTCACGAACGATCTCATTTCATAATGATTTCATCACATTGAATTTTCAAAATAAATGCTGACTGAGCATAAATAATTTGCTAAAAATATCAATAACAATGAAATACACTTAACTAATCCTCATTTCGAGGAATAAAATTAGTACGAACATGAAGTTCCTTATATTTTCTTGGCATACCTTAGTTCGTGGATTAATGAGATTCACACCATTTTTGTTTATAGCAATCAACAAATGATCTGGGAAGTTTGGCTCCGTAGTTTGCTGGAGGACAAAAAAAGGTTTAATTTTTTAACTGTCTAATTTCTCTCTGTAGAACACAAAACATGAGCTATAACTTCGACTTTTATCTTGTCATCCCTGCACCGAGCATTACATGGAAGTACAACTACTGAACTGCCATTGAATTTTACAGTTCAGCACATCTTTACTCTTGCTGTAATTCATTTTTATTTCAGCTGGAACAGCTTTGTTCTCATACAGTGCTCAACAACTGGTGTATTGTGTCTTGCGACCTTAACAACGAGCTATGGAATAAACTTTTCTCGGTATACTTGCATGATTTAAAATTCAATCACCTTCACTTCAAAGAAAGCTGATCCGAATGTTGGCCATCTGTAAATGATCTTCAAGAACGATATTTTAGCATCATTCTTTGACTTGCCAGCATGTTTATTGAATGATGCAACTATGGCCTGGAACAAATTTAATGAAAGACAACGTTATAATCAAAGTCACAAATCAAATAGTAAACAGATAGTGTTACTTAAAAAAGAGCCACATTAAAAACTCAACAAGAACGAAAACTACGAACCCTCTTCCAGTCATCCGGGGACTGTTCAGCGCACAGGTCAGACGGAATCAACTCACGTAACATTTTCCTGTGTATCGAAAAACATCATTACTCTATAATTACTATTATTATTATTATTATTATTATTATTATTATTATTATTATTATGGCAGTGCAATCTTTGCGAAGGCATTGTAAAGAAATAACAAGTTGGGAGACAAATCAAAAGAGCAAATATAATGCTTGTAAAAACTAACCTATTTTAGTGATATCTATGTAACATTCATCAAATAGATAACTACAAAGGAAAAATAGATTTGTCTCTTACGGTATGCTGGGGAATTCTCGTTTGTCCTCGCCAAATCGAACTCTGTAGATAAGCGCTGCAAGTTGGCTTCCCTCTTCTTTTGTACATTTATGATAACCTCGTAAGTACTTTGGTAACTCCTGGTAACACAAGTTTCAATGTTCATGAATTAGTTACAGTGATACAAACAGAATGTTGAAAAATACAAACACTTAAAGTATGTCTTCGTTACAAGTATGTAATAGGAGGTACAATCTGTTATTTTAACTTGATTCATGTTTTGCAGTTACGACGTAGACAGGCAATTGATTCCATATTGAAATAAACATCATAAAATACTCTTATTAAACGAGTTTAGTCTGGCGGACACTTGACTGCGATTACACGCACACACTGTTGAATTAGAGGACATGAAAGAGAGTAACTACTGTACCTGATGATAATGAAAGATCGTGTCAGCGGCAACATCCTTTCCAACCACAGTTGTCGACCATAATTTTTTCATGAAGAATACTTGATAAGTTAAATTCGGCAGTTGACCTGGAGATGAAAAAATTCCCTTTGACTTCTTCAAATGACAGAAATAGTGGGGGAAAATAAATCAATTGATCTGTTACTTAAATTGAATGAATTTTATCCAAGCATTACAAGGCATTTTCTACTATAGGCTCATAAAACTGTTTCATTCTATTACATGATAATATGTACACCTAAATCAAATATTTCCTACTGAAGTACTTATGTGTGCAATATGCCGACTGGAAATAACTTTCAGAATTGTTGACATTGATTTAAGGATGCCCTCTGCTATCTGTTTAAATGACCACACTTGGAATAAAATAATTTGGCAATAAGGCTTTTCAGTAACATTATGGTAAAGAAGCAAGCATCAAGCTCATTATTTATGAAGTCAAAATAATAAAATTTGAGACTATCTAAAGAATTGTGGAGCATCACACATCCCTTGCAAAGTAAGGTTTTAAAACTAGTAAGTTCTGAGGAGAGTCAACTTACCATCACGGGTAGGTCTGGCTTTCTTGAGCCACTCTGTTAAATGTCTCACGAAATCGAAGAAGAAGTCTCCCTCAGGAACACTGATCACTGTAAACAGACAATAGAGTTGTAAGCACGAAAATACCTTGAATGGTCGCCATGAAGTGGAAGAAAGAAGGTGACTTAATACAGCAATGTCATCTTCATACGTTGGAGGGTGGGTTCTTCCCACACCGAGTAGTGATCAACATTTTCCATATGTTGCTATCACATTCATTTCTTTTCCATGAAAATTTATTTTTCGTTCCAAGACATAAAATGGAATGTGTCATCAGCCATCTTATCGCCATAATACCTTTATCAGTGATCTTAACAAACAAACTGAATCCTTCAGAAGACTTCAGTCCCAGGCGCTGCGCAACAACAGCACAAAATTCTTTGGCGCGTGTGCTGGAATCAACTTCAAAGGCCTGCAGTGAAATAACAATACATCAATGATCACAAAGCCAAATCGTTAAGCCAAAGAAAACTGACTCAGTTCTACCGATGGCTCAGTTGCACAATAAATAGAAAAGACGTCTGTTTCTCAATACTTAAGAAATAAAATTGTTTTACAAAAAATCTCAGATAGGGCTTTTAAAATAACGATAGTTAGGCGAATGATCAAGAAAAACAATTGAAAAACATCTGTCCAAAAGAAACGCGTTAAACTCATATGAAGAAAGGAAAGGTGGCCATGAATTTTGACTTAGTCGATATCCACCTCACATGGTACTGATACCAAGATGCTGCGAATCCCAGCAGGTTGTTAAATTGAGAGAGGTCTGTTACCTAAAAATTAAGCAACGTTTACAAATCGAGGTGATTTTTCATACTCGTGAACAATACGATAGACAAAGATATTTGAACCTGATCACTGTCATCGGGAAAATACACTTTATGGAATATCTGAGTAGTCTTGTGCTAAGGGAAAAACAAAAACAGAAGTTATGAGGATGCAAATGAGCTGTGTTTTAACTAAATGATACATCCTTTAGTTCATCCTTTTCATAATTGTTACATTTTACAGCGACGATTTCAGTATATGGCCAGGTTGCCTTGAACACCCATAGATTTCTCTTCCTAAGATTTGATGTTTGCTTGGTGTCCTTTAAGCACCATAAATACATGTACAAAAATCTGTACAAATATAATACATAACAAAACATAACACACATAATAATACACATACAAACATAATACATATAATGACATAATGCATGTAGTGTACAAACGTCTCGGACATGTTCAGAGTGTCACACCTGTATGGCCTCCACCTCCACTATGTGTGGAGGATATTTGCGCTGCCCGACTCTGATAGTCTTCTGTAGTCTGGAAAGGCAGTCATGAGCTAATGGCTGTTTACTGGAACACGACCGGAACACTTGGTTCACTTCCCTCATCAGCAAGGAACTGAAAAGCGCGAAAAAATACAGCTTGGATACAATTTTAAACCGTTGCACTGTAAAATGGACTGGTTTCATACACAATGGCTTTACCCACCTGCAGGCAAAGATTCCCGTACAAAGCCACAACAGTTCCCATCCTTTCTCCTCACTTGAGCTGTAAAAGGTAACTATACATTTACCATACTTCTCTTTCCATATTAACATTTCAACCAACCAACGATTTCACGTAAATGCAACGAAAGCAATTGATTCCTTGGTATAAAGGAATGACATTTTACTCTCCTCTACATAAATGGATGGATAAAAATATAACTCCACTAGACGATCCCTTTTTTTCATAGGGATTTCCATTCGCTTTCTAAGTAATATTTATTTACGTTAAATAGATATTGTTAACGTAATAGCAA